GAGAGAGAGAGAGAGAGAGAGAGAGAGAGAGAGCTGCTTGCGCTGCTCCGTGCTGGGCTCCTCACGCTGCCTTGATGCGTCCGCTGTTAGCCTTGCTGAGCCTGCTCCATGCCTGCTGTGGCCGCCACGCTGCCGTGCTTCGTCCTCCCTTGGGCGATGGTGGCAGTGGCGGGCGTGCAAGCATTCGGACATCGAAGTGGGACGGGGGGCGGCCAAACTTGCGAGGTAGGAATGTGAATTCGAAGCCTGCTTGAACTACCGGGCCGCCACTTTGTCAGAACCACATTCAAACGGCCAGGGAACAAAAAAAAGGAAGGAAAAAAATCGACAAGAATTAAAAAAAAAAATCCGGCCCTGCCGGATGCACGTCCTGAGCCTCCAAGAATTGGGCTCGTATTTGCTTTGCGGCACAGGGCGTGACAAAACACTCTGGCCCACCAATTTTTTTTTTGCCTGTTGGCGAGATGGGCTGTAATCCGGACTGGGATCCGGACAAGTGAACTGGACAGTGGACTCTGGACAGTCCGGATCCTTTTCCGGTAGTATGGATTGTGCAATCAGACTCGCTTTCTTTTCCACTTCGCATTCATGCAAACAGATGACAAGTCACACTGCTCAGCGCCCACTCAAAGCTCAGAGATATGGAAACCAGAAACACAGTTCAGATACATGCTCGCTTCAACAGGCTATTGCGCATCAGCGCCTGCACAACTCTCTGTTCGTCACTGTGTGTACCACTCCGCTGTTCACACACACTCCACTCAGGATCACCCTGGATATCCCACACGCGACACACTGTATCACACACGCACACACTACACTCGCCTACCACCTACAGAGGCTATGGCCGCTCAACCCTGCTGGCTATGGCTATGCAACCTCTACTCTGCCCACTTCGTCTTCGGGCGCTCTGCAGACCACCTCGCACAAGCCGCTCAAGCAGCGCTTCCGCATGGCTTACGCAGGAATGAATGAATGGCTGGGTGCTGCCTCTTGATTTATACTTCTGTAGCTCGTTGGTCTGCCCCTTTCCCATGCCCCTGGTGCACACAGTCCCACACGGTACTTGCTTGACTGGACTGTGACTGACTGGGACCGGTACCGCTGACTGCATGGGTTTGCTCTGCCAATTCGATGCAGTCGCACTGCCGACGTACCGTAGCTGGGCTCACCACTTGCCCACTTGCCTCTGTCTAAACGTGAGCAAACTTCGAAAGGCCACTACTGGGACCTTCCGGAAGTCTGTAGACTTGGCCTTTCGAATACTGTAGCAGCTACGACCTTGACCTTTCAGGACTGTAGCAGCTACGACCTTGACCTCTCAGGACACCTACAGCGACGACCTCTAGGCCTCACTAAGACCTCTATCCAACAGGTCTACAGATCGAACCCCTACAACCTACGGACCTATGACAGCCTACCAACTGTTGTGAATACACAGGTCATGGGTTCAACTCTCGGGGCCGACACAGATACTGTACACAGGTAAGGTAAGAACTAGGGATCAAACCCTGGGATCTGCATTCGGTAGTGCTAACAGGTAAATACCGTTTCAATTGCTGCCATGAGAACAAAAAATCTCTTTAATCGCCAGTGAGATGGCACTGAGACTAAGTATAAGGAACCTGCCCTGCGGAAAAACACAGACACGCACATCAGAGCTCTCACATGACCAACATGCACATGACAACAACGCAATTAGCAAAACTGACATGACCACAAGAGTGAATACTGCTGAGGTCTCTTGACGATGAAAGGCCCCTTTGCTGCCGCTGACAATCCAGTACGAGAGCAAAAGTTTTTCTCTGCCGTTGCTAGTGAACACCTTCTGTATCATCCTCTCTATCCTATACCATGTCATGCCGTAGAGTCCCATGTTGCTTTGACAGCTTGAGGAGTTGGACCCCGCTGAAGCTATTGCTTGCGACCACCAGGTAAGTATCCACCAACTCCTCCCTTCTCCATGGTCCTTTTTCCAAGGATGTCTTTGTTCAGCACCACCTTGTTCCTTTTTTGGCATCACACGGCTTATGGCACTGACCTGCTTCCCCATCACCCAAACTGTCCTGGCCTCGCCCTGCTTCACAACACCCTAACCGCGTGGCATTAGCCTTGGTCTTATCTCACAGCCTTCTGTTCCTGGTGCTGCCTCTTGGTTGAAGCCATTCCTAGCATGCGCTAGTGTAGTTCACTATGAGTGCCGAGCAATCTGTTCGCCACACTTCCTTCGACTAGGACACCTTTGACTTGCCGCGGCCTGCATTATGTACTTGGGCGGGTCTTCTCTTGGGATGATAGGCAATGCCTTCCGGAGACTTCCGGTCTTGCAGGGTCCCAGCCAACCTGGCTGGGCCTAATCCCGGCGCCTGACTGAGCTTTCCAATGTGGGTATTAGCCCAGACCCTACTGCTCATCTCCTCGCATACCCCTTGTTGAAGCTCAGGTTGGACATGTGGCAGCGGCTTTTCAATTGTTAAGCAAGTTATCTAAAGAACAGTTCGAAGGTTGCTTGTAAATATGGGACCGCGTATAAGGAAGAGGAAGGTTCATGGATCCTAGACCTGGAACCTCAGATCAACACATTACAGACAAAATGGATTATAAGAGTGAATTTTCAATATGAATTATTGTGGCATATCTTAGTTATGACGCAATCCGATCCTTTGCTCCCTCTGAAATACAACATTAAATGTTGGTGTTATTTCAGTTTATGAACGATATCTGGCCCCAGCATGCTAGGCCAATAATTACAGCCGATGATTAAGATGAGGCGACTCTGCAAGATGGAGCTGAGCAACAACAACCCACTTGAGAGTCATATTTACTTGGTCCAAAACTAAGGACGATATGCTTTGGCAACCCGTTCTTGGTAACCTGCATCTCTTAGATTTCAATGAATGCCATGGGTATTACGTAAAATGGGCAGTAAACGGGGAGGTTGGAAGATTCAACAAAATGTCCGCGACAAAAAAATAGTGAAGTTATTGAGAAATGAACTCAATGAATACCATGATCTTGCGGATAACCTTCGCCTGATAATTGAGGGCGTACTTACCCAGGTGTTGTAGAGGCCAAGGACCAGACCTGCGGTGATTGCTGGTAGCAGCAGCCAATGGTTGTCCTGACAGGATAGGCCACCTACCCTACCCATCCCCACGTTAATACTCCCAGTGCACCCCCTGTCCCAACTATCCTACCTCCGTGTGACCAGCACTCAGGACCATCACCCTATCAGTATCGAGGGCAACTTGGACCAGACAGCAGTGACAAGCACCAAGGCTGGGCCAATCCCAGCCCTAATGGAAGCGGAAGCGGACGAACCTTGCCGTATGGGAACTTCGGATGCCAGGCTGATGCAATCTTCTACAGGCCCAATTCAGAGAGTCCACCTAGCAGGCTAGCGCCCGCGGACACATCCTACCGTCCTTCCCCTAGCTTACCCAAGGCTAGGCGGAACTCAGACTAGCCGGAGCGACTTATATCCCTACCCTACCCTAGAGCTGAGCCATGCGTGAGTAGACTCCGTCATATACCTGGCAGACTCCCCCAGTCCAGTATCATAGTTGTGTGTATGTGTGTGTGTCCAGATGCTATGTATGTTTGTATGAGCCCATAGGGCCATGTTTCTTGTGTCTGCCCGAAGGCTATGTGTGCTCTGTGTAACTGTATAGCGAGATGTATGTGCCCGAAGGCCAGATATGTGCAGTACTATGTAGAGGGAACTATGTATTCGTTTGAAGAGATGACAGGCCAAGCTGGACAAGAACCCCCCCCAAAGTCCCAAGCCAGACTCGAACCCGTGATCTACGACATGTGACCTGAAGACTCTACCATTTGAGCGACAATCGCAAACGGCCTGTGTGTGTGATATGCCAGACTGGGGAGATGAACAGACGAACCACGAGCAACAGCCACAAGCAACCCACGAAGTATCGAGACCCGACATACAACACCATGGACAGCCCTTGGGTGGTGCGCAGGCAGTGTCTGTATAAGCTTACCGTGCGTCAGCTGAAGGGGGTGTGTGTCCAGCCATGCGTTCTAACGCCCTGCCGGTGTCCATGCGCAAGGCTGCAATTGAGTTTTAAGCTCGCAACCTCATACCACAATGCGCATTTCCAACCGGTGCTCTAACCACTGGACTACATCAACTGGACTACCCTAGGACTTTTTAACTCATTTCTTAACATAATTGCGGCGAGGTACATATATAGCCCCAGCCCTAAGTCTGGTGAGATACATTTAAATCACCTGTACTTTTGACCCTGCCCTTGTCGGGCCTTGAAACGCACTGTGTGGCAAAAAGAATGAATCGATGCTGGAGTGGAGTTTCATCATGGAGATTGTTAAAGGAACCACAAGCAGCGGAGGTGGCGCTGAAACCATCTGAGGGTGTATTCACACCAGCTCTATCTTTAAGTCTTTCTGACCTCATTTATGTGACCGCAATTATGTCTATAAACAAGTATAAAAAAGTCCTGGTGTGAGTACACCCTTAAGCTCACAAATTACGGTGTTGAACCGATCATTGAGTGGTTTGCAAGCAGTGCCAGGCAATGATTGGTTGAATCGGACGCAAAGAAAAGGACTACAAACAGAACACCGTGCACTCTGCGAAGTCTGTGTGACAATCAGAGAAAAGGAGATTTTGTATGATGTTTTCCTCATTGTAACGCTGCTCGGAATTCTCAGAGGAAGTTTCTTAAATGTGGAAACATATTTGAATCTTTCCTTTCCCTGATGATCCTCGTTTCCTACGAACTGGCCTTGTCAGACCAGGCACACCTTACCCTGCCCATATTTTTACCCTTTCCAGCTCCTTTGGGTCGTATCCCTTTGGGCAATCTGGAAGGGATGTTGCATGGGGAGTAACAAGAAGTAGGTCTCAGTAGCGTACACTCAATGTATCAAGCAGATATCAGAGCACATCGGCGACTGAGTGTATGACAGAAATGTAAATATGCCGATAGAGAGGAGCAGATCGGAAAGTAATCCAATGACTTCATAGCAAAGAATGCTGTGGTGTAGCACAGAGGATGTTTCTTTTTTTTTTCTTTTCTTTTTTTTTGGAGCACAAGTTGGCCTGTTGTGGATCTGCACGCGCAAGAGAAAGTGGGCATAGGCGCTATAGAACCCAAGAGAGTGGAAGGCTGAACACCACTGTAAATGCTATGCACTTGCTATGTCAAACTGGCCAGTACATAGACCTAATATTTGCTATATGGAGCTAAGGGGCTATCCAGAGGTAGGCTACTATGTGCCTAGTAACCGGCACTATGTGGAGTGGCTGCTACGTTTACCCTCTGCTAGGTATGGTGTTTGGTACTATATGGTCTGGGTGACATGTTCATTGGGCAGTACTTGGGAATGTAGAATGGTCAATGTGCGCTCCTATTCCACTGCGTGCCTGGGACCTGTCACTTGTTATACATCTGCATCCTCTCAAATCCCTTCCCATGGGCGAGCTGGTGTGTTTGGCAGGTTTACGACCAGGTTGGAACAAGTCTTTAACAATTGGTGGGAGTTCCAAATTCGGCAAGAACACTTGCTTGGAGCAAGCTTTCCCATGGGAATGCCCTCTCGGCGGCTCTCACCAGCATGGATATCATATGCATGTGTCATGAGTCTCACTCATTGGCTCCAAGGCATGCCCCTGTTTCTCATCTGCTGGTGATTGACCTGTGGTTTCTTGCTGACAGTTGCCACGGCTGCTGGTACCCCTGCAGACACTACTGGGGTTTCCTCCGCTGCCAACACAATTCTTGCCAGCCCTTTCTTTTTTCTCGGTGGGCAGGCGACCCCAGTCTCACTACCCGTGCAGAGAACACGGCAGCCTCCGTCTGTCCAATGCTCATGTCATCTATCTCAGTCTCTTGCTCCGAGACTCATTCTCCGCTGAGCCCCTATCAACTTATCAAGGAGCTTGTAGAACGACTTAAGAAGAATGGATTTGTAAGACGCACTTACAAAGGTTATATCCTTGCTATGCCGATAAGAATTATGATCCCTATGGACCATGCAGATATTGCATAAATAGGTAAAAAATACCATTCTGGCACTATGTGAGATGGAGTTGACATATTATTTGCAGGTATATAATTGTCAGGATGTCCCAATATGTTAGGTGCATAAAAAACAAAAATGGACAAAAATATTGGAAAGGCTACCCAGCCTACTAACTTGTTGAAACCACCCAAAAAAAGCAAACACATATGTTACAAATTTGTGCTCCATTATTTGACAATCTGAGTGGTCTTATCAAGTGGCCTCTTTTAGGGGCCCTCGTCGTCTTACTTGTTCCTAACTTGAAAATACGGTTGATACAAAGTATTGCCTTTTGCACCTCTCTCTGTGCTTGGGCATAGACGGTTGTCTTCCTCCTCACCGTCTCCGTCTCTTCCACGGTGTTGTTTGTGAACGTGCTTCCCTGTGCCCACTGTTCCACCGACATTGCTGGGCCCGTGCTCATCCGCAATTTGTCACACCTTAACTCCTCGTATTGTATATTGTTGACAGCATGCATGGTATTGTCCCTCACCCGCCAGTCAGCAGCCTGTTTCTTTATGCATTGTTGGTGTTTCCTCACTTCGTGCACAGTCTCACTACTACGCCAATTCTCTTTGTGCCTGCTTCGCATGTTGTTGGCGTTTCCTCACTCCGCATGGCAATGTCCAGAGTTGCTTCCCCCTCAGTCAGTCCAACTATTGGTGTACAACCATATGATTCATCATCTACAGCATTGGAGATTCAGGACTCACCTGCTGTACCGGGTGTAAAGATGTGTTCCTATCACTTGGCTGAATTGCAATTTGCCGTGTTGGCCGTCAACCACTTTGTGTGATGTTCAAATAACTGTATAGGACACAACCCAGGACACAACCCATGATACAACCCAGGACATTGCGGGCTTGGAACATCAGCTGAGTAACTTGCAAATTGTTGGCCACTGATGGACGTGAGTGTATTCATGGCAACTGCAAACGATCCCCTTTACTCTACTTCCGTTGAAGAACTCCCTGCTGTCTGTAGTCTCGCTCCTTGTAATGCTTGTCTGCACACCTTCCGCTGTCCACTTCATACAACATGAAACTTTCTTGCAATTGCCCTTCAGCGTGATGTGGATTTTCTCATCGAGAGGCGAAGGAAGTAACTATACCAGGGAAGTTGGCCTTACAGTGAGGCCCTTCAAGTTGCATGACCAACTTGAGCTGTGCCATGCACGGCCTGGTGAGTGCTTCAATCCCCCGTCTCGCATTTCTACATGGATCTGGCCATGGCATCGTTATTGTTTGTGCCTGTGAACATTGGGACAACAATACCATTGTTTATGGCCCGGCTGACGTTGGCATTTCCTTTTATGTCGTCAACATTTCCCTCTATGCCAACAATAGCTTCTTTATGTCAAGAATCACTTGGCTGTCCCTGTGCTGGAGCAGGGAACATGTGAAAACTCTGTCCTTCTCCTCTGGATGGCTACAGTCACTGTTACACTTAACTGCTGGTGTCATTGTCTTTGGCAGAATCTTAACAATGCTTCTATAGCCATGTGTAGATCGCTGGCCCTTCTTTCCTTCCCTATGATGTTAGTCCCTCTGGTGTTCTCTCTATTCCACAATCCTTACTTTCCCCGTGTCGTCCTTTGTTCCTTTCCTCTCTCTTTCCGTCCCTTATGCTTGTCTCCCTTTCCTCTGTCTCTTTGAAAGTGTGCATGTGAACTGCTATTCAAGAAGGGGGTGTAGCCTCTTCACGTTCACCATTATGACGGGCCTTGCTCCTGAGAGGCATGATAAAGGGAGAGACCTGGAAGAGAAACCTTGTGAAAAGCTGAAAGGAGGAAAAAGACAGAACTACACAGAAAACGATTACAAGAGTGGTCCGTGTGGCTCATGCTGTCTGCCCCCTTTTTGGGTTTGTTTTGGGATGTGTGATCTTTTCAGTTTATAACTTTATAGAATAATGAAGTTCAATAAATGAAATGGAAAACTGTTTCTAAGAAGTCTAGCACCTGACCGTCAAACAATGATATTCTGTTTGCTTGCAGCGGTTGAGGGGCAAGAAAGTCATCTTTGTGACTGGGACCGATGAGCATGGTGAGAAGATTGCAGTATCAGCTGCATCAAATAACCGAGAGCCAAAGGAGCATGTAGATCTGATTGCTGAGGACTATCGATCTCTGTGGAAGGAGGTCAGTTGTCACCAGACAAACCAATAAACTCGCACTCTTATAATTTTTCTTGCTTGGCTGATCCCCAATATTTTCCTTTTTTTTCTTTTTCTGTCTTTTCCTTTTCTCTTTCTTCTTTCTCCTACGTCCTTCTTCTTTTATCCTTTTCTTCCTTGTTCTCCCTTCTTCTTAAAATGGCGATGACCATGAGATATCAGCATTGAACTGACCAGCCCTAGGCAATTCAGAATACTCTTCTTGGTATCTGGATGCGGACATGGGTCTGCATTTCGACAGGTCATGGGTGTACCAACTGAGCTAGGCCCGTTGGTGGTGATCCCCAATTTCTTTTTTGTCAGACATTGCCTGCGGTAGGGGTCCCGCGCGCACGAAGCGGACCGGTTTCAGGGTCCTGGTGGCTCCTGGGGATCTGTGCTGCCGCCAGGTCCTACAGGGATTTTTTTTTTACCTTCAGCGGCCCCAGGCGCTGTTCGAAAACCGGTCGAATCTGGGCCATTCGATCTTTGCGATGGACGGCCCAGATTCGGGCGCTTTTTGAATGAACGGCCCGTGCGTTTTCGCGTGGGCTTCATTTTCCGAATGCCCTCGCAGTTTCGCTTCTCACTTCGACGAGAGAGAGAGAGAGCGAGAGAGAGAGAGAGCGAGAGAGAGAGAGAGAGAGAGAGAGAGAGAGAGAGAGAGAGAGAGAGAGAGAGAGAGAGAGAGCTTGGCTATTGCACAACCTTGCCCAACCTGGCGCGAGGGTCGGACTCCTCCCGCCCTTCCCCCCCACGTTTATTCTTCCTCTTTTTCTTCTTTGTATCCTC